TGGTCAATATAAATCACAATTCTGTCTGGTTTTTTTAACCTACAGCTCACTGTTACAAAGATTAGAAAAAGTATTTGTCCTATTTGTGTACTTTTTGCATTTGAAAACACTATTTTGATAGTCAGCTGTTCTGCTTCTCTGGTTCAATCAGCTTCAGCTGTTTATATGGAACCTTCCCATAGCAACAGGAGACAGAAATTTTGTCATGAACAGGAAAAACATGTTTATCAAACTATAAAAATTGGCAAGGAGGCCCAAATGTAGGTATAGAACTAAACATACATGTAAGTCATTCTGTGAAGTTAACTAGATTACAAATTCATCACAAATCTACATCTATATAATATTACGGTTGTACAGTTAATGTCAGGCAAAAGAAAAAAACAAAGGTTTCTATAGGAACAATAACATGACCATGTGGTATATGTGTAGTATTTTCAACTCCTATTTTTTCTTGCAATAGCCGGTGTTGATTAATATATGTTACATAATGACTTTAACAAACATATGTGAAACACAGGCAAGTTAACCCTGTTGTAACCTTATTAGCATTGTAACTTTCAAATTTTAACTGAGCAACCTTGATGTTGCATTAGCATCTTAAAAAAAGCTACCCGGATATAATGCAGATAAGCATTTGAACAGCTTTTACTAGCTTTTCAGTTCACACCCCACAAGAAGAGCTCCCCCTTTTTTTCCCTCAAGATAGTTTTCTGCAATGCTGAAGTATAGCAGTAGCACATCTTTTGTGAGGACTCTTTTGGCAACAGTCTCCCCTCCCCTTTTTTTAATAATGAAAGTTTAGAAAAAGTGAGGAATGTAACAAAAATTGCAGAAAAATTGCATTTTTTTACTTTCCTTCTGGCCCTGAGGAGAAGGCAATAGTGTTTGCAGGGCGAACTTTGCACCTTGTATCACTGCAATTTTTAGAGAGTGCCCTCATGCATACTGCCCTAGCAACAGCCAATGTGCTTGACCCAACCCTTTTCCCATCCAGCCCAAAACACGCATTATGGTGATGCCATAAAAAAGACAGAGCTTCATTAGATTCTACTAATATATCTTAGCAGCAACCAAGAAAGGACCCATACGTGATTTTTCTTCAATAGTATGCAATGTTTATCATTACTCAACCAATCACTCCCCAATTCTTGGTCCCAGACTGTCTTTGTAGTGAGGGTTGCTGAAATTCCCCAGACCCACTGATGTGGGGGGTGGGAGGGAGGGGAGGTGAATAGCTGCCCTGGGGCCCAGTGATTCAAAAGGGCTCCTGCATGCCAATACTACCACCACAGGAGAAGCAGCAGCTGCTGGAGCCCTGGGCCATTTAAATCGCGGCCAGAGAGGCGTTCTAGGCAACTCTGAGGACTGCTGGGTGCGATGGAGAAAGGACACGCTCCAGGCAGCACTGAGGGCTAGCTGCCTAAACCCGCTCCTCCCACAAGCATGGATCTGCCCTGCCCCACCATGCCCACACGCCCAGCAAGTCTACTGGCCCCTCTGAAATTACTCCATTAGCTTCCATCAACACATTATTGATGTACAGGTCTCAAAATTAAGCCATTTTTAGTGGGTATATTTTTTTTTTTTATTAATGGAGATGCCTATCTCCTAGAACTGGAAGGGACCTTGAAAGGTCATTGAGTCCAGTCCCCTGCCTTCACAGCAGGACCAAGTATCACCCCTGACAAATATTTGCCCCAGCAAGGATTGAGCTCACAACCCTGGGTTTAGCAGGCCAATGCTCAAACCACTGAGCTATCCCTCCTCCCCCCAATCATCATCACAGAAGTCGTATCTTCTTCTTTGTCTCTCACAATCTGGCACCAACAAGGCTACAACAACAATGCAAACATCACTGGTATTTCAATATCTCACCACGGAAATGCATCCCTTTCTGAAGTAAAGCACAGCAACCAATCAGAACACTGCACACAACACAAGAGGAAAAGGCATTTTGGCCAATACATTGTGGTACAACCACTAAAACTGCAGAAAAAGCTAATAGGCATGCTTGGCGGATCAGACTTCTGTCTTGAAGGTCTCATTTTAAAGACACAGGCAATAATCTCTATTGAATTCACTTTATTTATCTTGAGACAGATTAGTGACTGAGTTAACCCTCTCACGATTCTTGTAGTTCCAGAGAAACTAGACCACACCCTTCTGGATGCACTTAGTCCCTGGAGAGAAGATAGTGCCTCTTGTTGTTCTTGAGGAATTCCCTGCGGCTGCTACTTTGAGTATCTATAAACTATTAATTCACCTAATAGATCTCAGCTCTAACCAACCCTGTCAACATAAATCTGGAACACAATTTCCAGATATGTTTCAATATGAACAGAAATGACGTCTATTAAAACTTGTTAATGTGCAGGCATATAAATACCTTACACTATTTTTTAAGCAAATACTGAACCCGCTGTCCTAATCGCAATCAAAACAATTTACAGTTCTGTAGTAATTGGGAAACGGCATTTTTAAATTAACATTCATTTCTTATTTAACTCACGTAGTTTACAGACTGCCAAATGCTTTAATCTTTTTATCTGTAGCAAAAATCTGGAATCACCCTTTCCATATTTATTGACAATAATGATAGGATAAATGTCTGTTTCTCTTTCCACTTTCTAATCTCCCCTCTTTATAGAGATTTGTGTATGTTACATACATATATTTTTCTGACTTACTGGAACAATGGTGTTATTGGCACATATGCTCATCTTTTCCTTGCTGAGTATAAGATTTTAATTTTTTAAACCCATCTCATTCAGTTTTACTGTCTCAGTCTACCACGCTTCAAACCAGAATGCAATTTTATACCTGAATTAAAAATCCTTTTAAAAAGAGGGGTTATAGCTGAAATGACAACACAATTTTGAAGTTGTTGTAACACTTCTAGTGAGCTCTGCCATAACTCCCTAAAGTAACTAGGATTTTCTTTATAAAGGCCAAGGATAAAGAATGAAAATATCTTTTCACTGGGGAGTTAAAATAAGGCTCACCATGTTAAAGGGCAAACAAAATATAAGATTCTCTAGGAGGTTTATAATCTTATATTGCACACAACAAATGGATTATCCTTTTAAAAACAGATATACCGGTAATCCTATAATGGACACACAAGGCTAGTGACTTAATGGGTACAAATCTGGTAAAGGTAAGTGAACCAAAAGCTTCTGGGTGTGAAATGGGGTACCCTAAAGTAATATTCTAATGAGGTGTCCTTTTCTTCCACAACACTTTTGGGACAAGAGGGGTGAATGGCATTACATGTAAACAGATACTATTTATATATGTATAATGATCTAAAAATCCAAAATTTTCAAATGCAGAAGTCTAAGTTACTGGATGAGAATCAAGCGTTCTCCCAAAATGTTTAATAATTCAGCAAGTCAGAAGTATCCAAAGAATACCTTTACCATTACATTTAGTTAAAGACCACAGAGATTAGAAAACACATTATCCATCTCAGAGGCGATTCTTTCCATGTTACAAGTCCCTTAACGACCTTTACCATCTCTCCCTCGCGCGCTCTCTCTCCCTTTTAATAAGGCTGAGCAAATGGGACTTCATTTTATCTGACTGCCACAGACTAGCGATATTAATTATTCATGATCCTACTCTCTTTTGTTAAGGCACTGCATTAGACTAATTTCCCTTTCTGTTGCACGAGTCTGGCAAGTCCCAGCCTGTGGCCACTGTTCTCAGAGAGATGTGCTGAGAAACTGGCTTACAGACTTATTAGAAGGAAAGAGGGGAGGAAGGAGAAAAAGAGAATGGAAAACTTACTGTAGCTAGGAAACCTTAAATCAGCAGGTGTGTGGAAATTTTAAAAAACACAGTCCAAGAACCTAACAGAGAATTAACAGACAAAAAAAAATTAATTTCTGTAGCTAGACCAACTTCGGCAGTGAGCTTTGTTAGATCTTATAGCTGACTAAAGTCCAGCATGGCATAAATTCTATGGATAAAACACTTCCAAAAAAACCCAAAACAAAACACCATCACCACCCAGGGGCTGAAGAAAATGGTGTTGATGGAACTCTTCCATGCACATCCAATATCCCAGCATGGTGCTTGGGGTACTGTGCTCTTGGAGATGCCTTTTTTGGATGGAACATAAAAACAGAGTCCCCAAGCACTTGTTATCAAAGAGCCTGCAGTACTTTTCACAAGAGCAGAGGTGTTCACCCCAGTGTCCTGGCTAAAAGCCAACTCAGGCAATTGCATTCTGAAATAGCTGGATTTGCTCTGCAGGGAGTTATGTTTTTCCTTCTTGCAATAAGTTGTCGTGTTTTATTGCCAGTAACACCCAAAGAAGGGTTCTCCTTTCAGCAATGGGTGAAATGATCTTTATACATATAAGAGGTGATGGATAAGTGTAAATAATTAGAATAAATAAAATAAGGAAAAGGTATAACAATGGTCAACAGTATACTCAAATCATTAGCCCCTTCAATACTGAACAACATACTGGGCACA